ATAAAACGGGACTGTTGAGACTCAGTATTCTATAGACATTTATAATACGGGAATGTTGAGACTCAGTATTCTATAAACATTTATAATACGGGACTGTTGAGACTCAGTATTCTATAAACATTTATAATATGGGACTGTTGAGACTCAAGTATTCTATAAACATTTATAATATGGCAATGTTGAGACTCAGTATTCTCAGTTCTTTTCTTCATCTGTGTTATTTGTAATTATGGTTTTGTAAAGTTTGATGTCTTGATTTAAAAAGTGTTTGAATAACATACCCAATACATATAATTTGACTGATAACAGTATTTTTAGTTGGATAACACCTTACATAACAGATGGGCTAAACACACCTATAATATAACCGTAGCTATGCCTAACATAGAATTGTTGACTAGTCAGCTGCACCTACCACCTAAGCAGTTACTCCTTGTAGGACAAGTCATAGTTATAATACTCTCATAACTAATGTATGGAATCAGGTATATGACATGAATCTTGGATCTACCAGTACAGCACATTAAACACCAAGCCATATCACTTTTATTGATAAATAAGAACAAATATATTTCAAAAATTTTAAATTTTAAAAAGGAAAAACTATACACACGACATAAAGACCGTCGAGCACATCACAAGTACTAATTAATACCTTTTTCACTAAATATGTTGACAACAAGGTTGTTCTTACCATAAAGATGGCCTGTCCAGTTTAGGTGGATCAGACTTTTGAATTTTCAGCAAAACACGCATTGGGGTAGCATCATGATTTGGTGGTTCCATCTGGGCCATTTCTATCAGAGTAACTCCCAAGCTCCAAATGTCTGCTTTATAATCGTATGGGTTGTCTCTAAGTGTTTCACAAAGCACTACTTCTGGAGCCATCCTGAAAGATGAATAGGCTTTAATGTTAAAATTTCACACAATTTAGAAATTATGTTAAATTAAAAGTTATTTCACATAAAATTTCAAAATTATTATTTCAACCAGCCTTGATGCAAAGTTTAAAGAGTATTTACCAAGCATTTTTCAGAGAGCACTTTCACTTTTCCTAGGCCATGTCAATGTTCCTGATGGAACTGTGCTACTTCAGTTATACGAAAACTTGATTTCTAAGACATATCTGTTTTCTTTGTAGTTTTGAAATCTCTGGTTAGGAAATGTCAGATTCTTTGTTTAATAAATATATTTTTAAAATCACAATGGAATACTTAAAACATAACTAATGAGGAACAAAACCCCATTCATGTTGTTTCAAAAATGGGGAAATATTATCTATACCAATGTTTTATAATAAAGACTCTCAATTAATTAGATTTTCAAATGTACAAATCCAGTGGAGAAATCTTCCACATTCCTAGAATTACATTTTATGCATTAAATTTAGTGAGTCCAAATTTTTTGGTTACAATATTCCTAATAAGATATGAGACAGGCAACAAAATAACAAAAGATATCATCAATATTACAATTAATTCTCTCGCTACGGGTCTTCCTGTGGTCAGGGGTCAAAGAGCATGTCTTCATGTTTGTTGACTCACATTCAAAATTTTATTGAACTACTATTTCATGAACTTATGTCAATAGGTTTGGTATCAAATTGTAGATTATAATTCAAATTTTAGTATTATACATTTCTTAATTTAAAAGTAAATATTAAAAAAAAAACATTTAAGCATTGATTTTTGTTTGTCACATGGTATGTTGAATATAGCTTTGGTTCAAATTAGATGTTTGTGATATCCAAGTACAAAGTCTATAGTTTCTTATGAATTAGAAACTCAAATTACCAATACTGACAAGCTAGAATATAATACCAAACTTACTGACATGCATTCAAAATTTTATTTAAGTACTATTTCATGAATTTGAGTCAACAAACTCAATGACATGGCCTTTGACCCGTAACTTGTCTGGAGAGGGTTAAAGCAAAAGGGAGACATACAAAATATTAACTGTTTGCTGATTTCAAGTACTTCCACTGAGTTTCTGTTGTACTAAATATGAAGATTAATAAAATGTTGATGTTTCACCTGTGATTAACCTTCCATTGTTCTTTGAAAGTAGCCTGAAATCTAATTTTAGACTTTGTCCTAACACTTTTGCACAGTACTATATAAATGTATAATGTTATGAGATTTAAGCTATTTAGACTAAATATTTGTAGTTTCTTGTTATAATCTGTAGTCATTCTAAAACAAACAAACATAATTTATATCTATTACCTAATTTTTTATGTTGGTTATGAGGTTGGTCAAATCGACCAAACTCATACAGAGATACAATAGTGAAAATAAAAAATAAAATATAAAGCTTTTTCTAAAGAAAACAAAACATTTGATAATTATCTGGAGGTTAAAGATTTTGCATGTGAAATTTGACAATTTGCTGATGCATAAAAGTATTTTTAATCTTAAAATTACTTTGCATGATAGATAGGCAACATGTGAAAAGAAGAAAAATACATGAGCAAATTATTAATTAAAAAATCTTAAAACGTGTTAAAAAAATTATCTTTGGTATATTAAATCCTTGTCATGTTTCTGATAATCTGCAAAATTTCATGAAAATACACATAATGTATTAAAAGCTATAGTATGAAAACTATAACAAGCACAAAAATGGTTACGAGGTCGGTCCCGTAGCAAGAGAGTTAATATTACTAAATTAATTCTCAACTCCCTATATATTATACATAAAAAACAGGTAACATCACCCAATTTTTTAAACTAATTCAACTTTACAATAAGTATTGTTATTCAATATGATGCAGTATGTGGACCCCAACAGTAGTGGATGCTATAAAAACAAGTTGATAACTTGAGGGTTGTGGATGTACCAAAAAAATACAGATCAACAAATCCTATATAATCTGACACAATGTTTTAGGTATATTACTATAACCTTAATCTTTAGATACATGTTTTCTGTGATATAATACTTTAAAACTGAGTTCTGCAGATAACATAACTGTTGTATTTGTCCAATATTTCCTATAACATGTGGGTAGTTAACCCTAAGATCTAAGCCAGTGCATCATACAAGAGCTCTCCACACGTATTATGTTACAAGATACTGCTTAGAAGCAAAAGAAAATTACTGGATTCATAAAGTATATATCAGTTAATGAAATGTTTATTAGTGTGTAACGTGTAGCAAATAACACTGAACGAATATGTCCCATGAGAAGAAGTTTCAGGGAGTGGATATTTATGTATAAAAGTTAAGGTTTTTTAAATATTTCTAAGCATTGTATGTACCATGAGTTTGAACACTTTTATAGAACAGTGTCTGTTTACATGACTGAGTTCAGGTAAAAGACAAAGTCCTATTTAAGCTGGTGGTTTAATAAACGTTAGTATTAAATGTCTGTCTTTTTCTACCATATATGCTCATGTAATAGTTGACCCATTATTTTTGACCAAAGGATCTTAATTTTTCCTATATCTTGTGTAAAAGTTGACCAAGTTTTTCTGGCAACCCCAGGCCAGGTCACACTTTACACTGAAAACTTGTGAAAACAGATTACAGAAAATCTGTAACAGAAAACACTTAACACTAAACAGAAAACACTTAACTCTAACAACATGGACTCAGTCTCAGGGACTGACCACATGACCATTTTTATTTGTATATAGTTTTAATACAATAACTAGAATTACTTCCAATTCTAACATGGAAATTCATTTTTTTTATCCAAAATAGCTTTAAACTCATGACAGTACACATCTATTTATTTGCTAAATGTCTGTTTGTACAATCATTAAGTTATCATCAATAACATTATGAGCTGTCTTAGTCAAGGATAACGTTAATTTTTCTTGTTGAATCTTAACTGCAACCATAAATATCAAAATATTGTAATTTTAAAGAAATTAACGTAATCTAAGGTAAGGGTGCTAACATTACTGGTAGATAAATATGTAACATGTTTTTCTGATTATTCTATTATTAAAATAATATGTTAGTTTTCATGTTTACCTTTTTCGTAAATAAAAAATTAGAATAGCTTTTTTGTTGTTCATTGTCTTTTATATCAATTCGGTTTTATGGACTCTTACTGAGCATGCATTTCGACTTCTCAAAAGCATTACTCATGTAAAAATTGCCCCCAAAATTATGGCTTAAAAACTACTCATAAACATTCGACTACTACAAGAGTATATATATATATATATATATATGGTAATTACTATATATAGTTAAGTCCCTGGTCGTTAGTTAATTTCCCGTATAATTTTTCCGATGAAATTTTAGCAACACAAGTCCTTTCTTAAATAAAACTAGTTTATTCTTTCTCAGTACAACTTTGCAATACACTTAATTTCCACAGTCACGTTATAACTTAAACAAACACTATAATTCACAATGAACGACTAACGTGCTTGACTCAACTGACCATCTCTATCTCTGTCTGCAATTCAATTACATTGTTGCCATCACTTCTTGGC